GAAGACCTAAGTAATAGAGGCATTCCTTGAAAAGCTATCACTTGAAAAAAAAATAAAAAACTTACCAGAAGGGGAGTTGAAATTCAAACTTAAATAAAATGGTAATCACAAGACTCTTGATACAATATTTTTTTTTTCAATCAACGGATTATTGTCTTACGCAACTGAATTTCGTTAAGATAATGCCCGAAGGCCGATAAGGTACTTTATTTTCCCACGAGCACGGTTATCTCAAGAAGATGGCGATTTTCAGCCGATAGACTTTTCAGCTCGACAACACAATTCAAAACGAAAGAGAATTGAAATGGACAAGTTGAGTAGACAGCGCTTCCTCTCCCAATAGAGTCGTTTCATGATTTTTTTTTATTTTTTCATTGAATTAGGCACATCAAAATCTATTCTTGGTTTTTTTCCCGCATTTTTTAGAATAATATTAAAGGAGATATTTCAATTTGAAATTTTACTAAAGTGTGTTTTTTTTTTAAAGATAAAAGTCAAAATGACATTATGTTGGCAATACAATGTAAAATTGTCAATGCTTTCAAATTTTTTATGTAGAAAGGCTTGTGTTGCCAACATAGTTACTAAATTTTTGACTTGGGGAATTATCTTTCAAAAAAAAAACAGACTTTATTATTCGTTATTTTTTAAATTGTAATGACGTCACAAGGCGAGCTTGCGCACTGTATTTCTAAATTTAAGTTTGCATCACTGACAAAATTTCCTAGTTGTCTAGTTGGCTGCCCTGCCACTGGCAAGTACTGGCCCATCTCCTGTCTTCTTTTAAAGGTTATGTCAGTTATTTTGTTTATTTTGATTTGCCTGTCTAGTCTGGTTGATTTGTAAAATAAAAAATAAATACTTGTTTCACCCGTTTATTTGTCCAGTTTATGTGAGAAGATGGATAGTGGATATATTAAAGCCTCCAGCGAATATTTACCTGAACTAAATTATGTGATGTTGCAAGAGTTTTTTGCCAAAAATACGGATTATTTAAGTGCAGAAATAAGAGGAGTCAAGTCCTTAAAGGTGGGTAGTGAAATATTGGCATAACTATTGTATTGGTTTAGCTTTGGCCCATTATTATATTACATTTTTAGTAGCAGGGTAACAGTTTTATAGTTTCATATATTTTTAGGTCAGTGAGAGCCAGTTATGGTGACGATGCTATTGGCTATGTGCATATGTGCAGTTGAGAAGAGACAGCAGAATATCCTCTGTTAGGAGCATCGCCAGATGGAATAAGCAAAGAATTTGTGATCGAAGTTTAATGTCCTAGCAAGAAGTGAAAAACTACATTAAGGAAAATGGAAATATAATGACGAAATACATGTGCCAACTTCAGTTATTCAGTTATTGTGTAACAGACAAAAAGGACTGTTTTGTGTGGCAAGTCCCAAATTTGGAGAGGATAATGAAGTGACAATTTTTGAATTAGACTTAAACATTAGGTTTATTAAAGTAATTATTGAATCAGCTGAAGAATTTTGGAAGAAAAATGTATTTTCAGTCTTTTTGAATAAAAATATATGATTGATTTGGGAGTCTGGTAGTTTTCTTCTTTATATTATTTATGCATTAAAAGTACCCTTTTAATCCCCAGGATTAAATTTCACATTATTTCCCAAGGAATTAACTTTTTACTTCATTTCCCGTGGAGTAAATGGAACAGGGAATAAAAGGGTACTCCAAAGTTGACGGAATAAAAAACACTTCAGTCCTGAGATGTATACACTATTTTATGTACTTTAGAGGGATCAAAAGTACCCTTTTAATTTTTAATCCCTAAAGTGCATAAAATAGTGTATACACCTCAGGACTAAAGTATTTTATAATCCCTCAACAAATTGTGTTCCTCACTTCGGGATTAAATCTACCACTTTAGTCTCTAGGTGTATAATGCACTATTTTGGCAGTAAAAAAACTAATAGGTATTTTTTTTTTATACAATATATTCAAAAAAGCATTTTTTTCTAGCTTCGACATAAAATTTATTTGATTAACGGTCCCTGCAAATTCACTATTCCACAAGCAATAATTATTAAATAATCAGTTTTTGCCACAAGCTGGTGGTCAATGCAGGAATGTCCTTCGAGTATTGTAAATTCTCACAATATTTGTATCACTCTTTCAATATGGATTCGTAAGCTGGCAATTCTTTTATTCAGCTTCTTCACAAACTCGGATTCTGCCTAAATTAATATGTGGAACCACTTTTTTCTTCATAAGTAATTTGCAGTTTGTCATCCTAAACTGCATCTAGTTATCACAATCTTGTTCCATCTATAAAGATAATATAATGTTCATATTTTTGAAATAATGTAAAACAGAAAATAGGTGTTTATAAAATGAAATTTGGCAACTAAGTTTACTTACATTGAAATGATCTTCGCAGCAATAAATTCCACCAGAAATACTCGACAATACATCAACTCTTTCCACAGCTAAACACCAACTTCTTCTTTTTGTTCATTTTTGGGGACAGCTATAAAGATTTTCTTCGAATTTAGATTACTGTTTTTACAAGAAGGCACAAAACATTTACGAAAATCCATAGCCAAATAGTGGACAGTAGGTAGGACTTAGGTGGGTACACTGAAACTGAAATGCATGCTCTATTTGAGACCTTAAAAACATCAAATAATGAGAAACAATGACTTACCTTGAATTTATTACATGTTTCTTTTAAATATTTTTCTTGAAACCTCGGAAAAATCGTTGAAAAACTCAAAAAATAATTAAAATATAACAACGGTCAACGACATTCCAAAATAATAACAAAACAACATAACCTCACAAAATTGCATATTGTTGATGGATTTGTTTACAACTGCTTTGCGCATGCCCGCGTAGTGACGTCATGGGAGAAAGAGACCAACAATTCGACAAGGACAAAAAATGTTGAAATTTTAAATTAATTTAAATAATCCAGGAAACAATTTTCAATAAAACCAATATGACATGGCCAAGTTTTTGGCCTCACTATATCGAAAAATAATGGTCAGTATAATTTTAATAATAGGAGGTAACGACCCTATAGTCAACGGAAAAAGTTGGTAAAGTCTGTTTTTTTTTAAAGATAATTTCCCAAGTCAAAAATTTAATAACTATGTTGGCAACACAAGCCTTTTCTACATAAAAAATTTGAAAGCATTGACAATTTTACATTGTATTGCCCAATGAACTATTGCCAATATAATGTCATTTTGACTTTTATCTTTAAAAAAAAACAGACTTTTACTAACCAGTACGTCAAATTTTAATGAAAATCGTGCCCTCTAGTGCACACAATTTAATATTTGCTAATATCATAAGTAGCGGGAATCCTGTATATTCAATGCTAGTCACCAGGGTAATATGAAATTAGATTTGGAAGAAAAAAGGAACAAGTAACTTTCACGATACAAATTGACTCACTCAACTAGCCTAGGAGAGCGAAGTAAGCAACTACGTCTGTAGATTGCTCAGAACTTTTGGCTGCAAATAATATTACGGTCCCTACGCGCAACAATGCAAAGCGAACATTAGGTATGCTTTATCCTGATAGGATGAAACGCCAAAATTAAAATAAATTATGTCGTTAATGAATTACCACCAGAAGTTGACTCCAGCTGCTCTGCAATGAGTTTCAGAGTTATGATAATATTGTTATTGTGATGATATCCTGGGACCATTCTAAATTCCATTTGCCGACATGTGTGTCCCTATAATCTGTTAGCTTAGTTAGTTTGTTTTGTGTTGTAACATTTTGAACTTATTTCACATAAATTTTGTCTTAGTTCCTAATAAATATATTCAAATAAGTAGGTACCTACATGTAATTAAATATAAACATAGTACACAGTGTGTAAAAAGTCCCGGAACAGTCAATTATTTCGAAAATGGTGCACAATATAAAAAAACTTCCTGTATAAAAGTTAAAGGTCTTCATAAAATCTATTGAAATAGGATTTTTGTAATTATACAGGGTGGCCCAAAAATTTGTGCTACACAAAACTTCATTTTTTTTAAATGAAATGATCCTTTTTTAATTACATTTTCTAATTCCTCTAGAGATTCTAAACAACAATTATGAAACATGTCATATGGCTAAACCCATTACTTTCAGAAATAATTTGAGTTGAAGGACATAAATACGATTGCATTGTTTCGAGTTGGTTCCAAAGAAAATAATCAAGGGGCGTTAGGTCAGGTTACCATTTTGAACCAACTCGAAACAATGCAAAATGTAGGTAATATCGTACTTATCGTATTTATGTCCTTCAACTCAAATTATTTCTGAAACTAATGGGTTTAGCCATATGACATGTTTCATAATTGTTGTTTAGAATCTCTAGAGGATCATTCCATTAAAAAAAATTAAGTTTTGTGTAGCACAACTTTTTGGGCCACCCTGTATAATTACATTAGTCCTATTTAAATAGATTTTATTAAGACCTTCAACTTTTATACAGGAAGTTTTTTTATATTGTGCACTATTTTCAAAATAATTGACTGTTCCGGGACTTTTTACACACTGTGTATTTTGTACTATTTGGGCACCGCTTACTGTGATATGACATAGTTAATAAATTAATAAAAAATAAGGCAATTGTAATAAGATCGCACATATTAATTATCGATTTTACTTTGTTCAGTAAAAACCTCGTCTTTCAAATACTCTATACCCATGTAATTGTGTTTTATTTTTGCATATATAGATTCGTAGTATGAACAGAAAATAAAAATTTTCAAAATGCAGAAAAAAAAAGTATTCCGAAGGAAAAATCCATAATCCTTTCAAATCTTCTCATACATTGTTGTCTAGAACCATCTCATCAGGATTACACTTTGTAAGGATTTGAATCGATTTTGAACAACCTACATTAGTAGATATTGGGCGAAGTCCAAATTCTTTGAGTTGCATAATGCAGGATTATATTAAAAAAATAATCAAAATGTCCTAGAAAGAATTGGCAAGGATAAAACAACTCTATATAACCTTTATTTTCTTATTTTAGGAAGTTCTTCTGCCAATTTACACCCTTGGAGTTTTGTTCCTGATAAAAGTCGCAGTGCCAAATCCAAATTTTCCCGAAATCAATCAACCGAGAGGTGGCGCAGAGCTATTGGCAAATTTTAGGAATATCAGTCATACAGTAGCGGTAGTACCAAATTCCACTGATGTACAGGTAATAGTAAGTTGAGAATTTTTTTCTTTCTACATATTTTATTATAGGTAATTTGTAATTTGCTAGCAGCAGGTGTGTTTGAAATAAAATACAACTTTTTGAAAGCCAGATAAAGCATGATAACAAGCTATTTGAACAAACCCTTCTAACTTCTGGAATATTTAGGTATACTTATAAAACAATCCCAAATATGATATTGAAATTTTCCTTCCCCCAGAAAGTTATGCTGGAGAATATATAAATTAATTTCAGATAAATTCCCTTCTGACTGAATGCCTATTCGAAATAGTTAATAAATTGCGAGATTCTGTCTGCTCGGTTTAGAAAGAGTGGGCTGTGTGAAATATTCCAATTTGGGGGAGATTTAAAGGTCAAGGTGAAAATGTTAAATTACATTTAGAACTTTAGGAAACTAATTAATTATCGCTATTTTCCTTAGAGTTATTTCTGGTTTTTGAGTCAAGTTTTTTTTAATCGATTTCACTTTCAACTAGAAAGCACACGAGGCAAAAAAGCGTCCGTTCAGCAATTTATCTTTAGACTCCAGTAACTCTTTTACCCTAATGGAACTTCACCACAAAAACATTCCCAATCAATTACTTCAACAAAATGGCAAAATAAATATCCACTACGGCTCTAAAACTAGGTCACTCACATCGCCTTGCATTGATAAATCTGTTGGCGATCGAGTGGATCTGCAAGAAAAGACTTTTATCGCTCACTTTTTAAACCCTTTGGAATTTTCCCTGGAGCTTTTGACGCCTGTATAGATTTTTGTAACAACTTGTAAAGATTTTGAAAAGTAGATTTTGAGCATCGAAGGTTGCTACAAATAAATTTACATATTTGTAATTTAGAGCAAAGAACCTATAGGGTCGTGGAATTCAAAAATAAATAATAAAACGTGTAGCCCCTTTACGTGCAAATGAAGCCACACAAATTCCAACAAACAATAATTTTATTTGGTATTCGTTATCAATGTAAGTAACAATGTTACTTTTTAAAATTTGAAAGTTATAACAGCTTGGTTTTCCTGGTGACACTGATACGGTATGTACCTTTTTCAATCCGGAGCTCTTCAGGTTGTTTCCTATATTCAGGAACAAGGATAGATTGCTGGTGTTACTCCAGCTGATCCAGACTCCAAATGATGATCTTGAGGAATAGGTACCCAGAAAAGAGTTTACAGTATCAGGTTCACCAAATTTTGGAATATTAATTTCCTGAATTCTGTTAAAAAGCGAGTGAATATCTTGCAAAGAAAAAAATTAATATGAAATTAGTATATCATAAAACTATTGTTGTGCAGACAATCCTTTTCAACAGAATCAGGTATGAGCAACTATTGCAAATTAAGTAGGTAAGTAAGTACAGCAAGATCAAAAATAGATGCTCGTCAACATTGAGTAGAATGCTGCTTCTCGTGCAGTCGCGCTGAACAGGCAAAAATAAAAATATAGGAAAAATTGAACAAGATAAAAAAATTATTCTCTAGATTTTCCCCAAATGGACAAATTTTAGGTTAAGGTACTTCATTGGTATAACAAGATAAACCTGAGGGTGAAATAAATAAAATCCAAGAAACTGTCAAAATTCTTGAGGTGTTTAATTAAAACTTTTTAAATGATCTGGATTCCTCCCTTAAATCTTCACCCTTTCAGCACTCTCCTTCCTCGAGAAGATAATGAGGGAGTCAAACAATAAATGGCTATACACGCTTCTGATAGGGATGCTCACACAAATTTGGTTTACACCGACTCTTTTTAGAGTAAATGGTCCAATAATCCCACACTAACAATTGATTCCGAAAACCAAAACAGCAATACCTATTTATTTGCCAAAACTTTGAATTGACTCTTCTTGGAAAATGTGGTACCACACAAAATGGAGGTTCACGATAGATGAAAAATTAAAATATAATAATTTATATTTTGAAGGTAGAGAAGATAAGATTTATCAGGTAATAAAGACCCAACAGTGATAGTAGACACTGATTGTGTAATATATTGAAAAAAATTAAGGGCAAATCTAGAAATCTGAAGGAAAAAAAAAATACAAAAATGAGAATCAACTTGCCTGATCACCGGTATGAAAGAGAAGAGAGCCTTTTTAGAACCAAAATCCCCGAAGAAAACCAGTCTCGTGATTTTTAAACTTAATTGCGTAGTAACCATTGAACTAATCAGAAGACATGACTCAACACACAAAAGATACTGTCTTCACTTCATCAATGAAACACTACGCTGATTAAACGGGAATAGATAAAAACACACTAGAATCATTTTAATTGTTTAGAAATTATAATGATTTAAATTAAAGTTTATGTTAGAAACACAAAACCACTAATTAATTAGTTCATCTAGTTAAAAATAATCATTTTAGAATCAAAAGTTAGAGAAACACAGGAGCATCAATGAAAAAGAGAAGAAACCTATCAGAATTTTAGAACAAATTCATTAAGTACTAGATGGCGGTACGTTAGTACTTTTATCAATAACAGATGTTTGCATTTATACGCTCATTTTATTTATGGATAGATGGCAATACTGATATTATATGAATTAAATAAATTTAATGGATACTTTTCAAATTACTTAAGTTATGCATTATTATTATTTAGCTGATTCTGAAATAACGAAAATATAACTTTATAATGAAAATTAGAAGGAAATGATAAATTTATCGTAACAAGGTATAGCATATTTAGAGGCTACTACATTTTCAAGAAAAATTTCAATAAACTAGGCAACTGGATAGTTTGATAAAAGGGGAAACCATAACGCCCACGCTCTGTCTATAAATGTCACATCTTCCGATTCCGTGTGGAAAATATTCGATTTTTCTCATTAAATGAGTCATGCCTTCGTTATCATCGGATCGATTCTGGCAGAAATAGATTTCAAGCAGTGGAAGCTCTAGTTTAGGAAGGAGTAATTACGTTTTGATATTTAGAGGCAACTTCCCCAATTGAACTAATTCCTAACAAGCCACAAATTGACGCAATAAACGAAATGTCTTTTTTAGTTATGTGCATACTCCGTCAATAATCGACTCTTCCTAGTGACAAAAATCTTCCACTTCTTGAAACGAGTCGAAAAGTATCTCTTTCTGTTCCCGTATGCCTTTTACGCTCATAGAACTTTTTTCCACATTTGTTATATTTTTTATGTTCAGCTTCAAAAACCATTCTATCCTTGTTTTTCTTATTCTGTCTCTATCTTTAGCTCTTTACAAAGCCTATCATCATATTTAGGTTGAAAGTCTACACAGAAGCTATGATAACTGTAACAAAATCAAAATAACAAATTTCACCTTCTCTTTAAGGTCAATTTTCTGGTAAAAACTTTCAAAGGCGTCTTCTCACGCTTCAACTCCGCAGTTGGTAAATCCTCTACTAAACCCAAATATTTGTATGTAAGGCAATAAACTATCATGCGCTTTAAGCTTTGGGAACTATTATTCCATATAGAGTCATTCTTTTTGTCTGCACTAAAATATGATTCTTTTTTTAAACCAACTTTCTTTCGACAACATCAACACTCTAAATAACTTCTGCTCCTGATTGCTATGGTCGATTTTGCCTTTTTAGATTTTCTGACTCGGCGGTGTTTAAAAATAGAGTATCGGATTACAAAGTTTTTCATCTAACTTTAGCGTGAAACAATGTACTCTACTAATAAATCAAAAATATGCTTGAAAACAATAAACTGGAATAGTTACAAACTGCTACTCGATTACACTTGTTGACACAACGATAACGTATTGCTTCCGTAAACTAAGTGTTCATTCCACAAACGTAGGTATACAGATATCTGGCATTTTCTATTAAACCGGCCTTTTCCAAGTCATTATAGTTGCAGTTTTTTTGTCTGAAAGTTCAGAAAACGAGACAAAAGTTTAGAAGAGAATGCATCATGACCGAAATAAATTAATTAATTTTCCGATGTGGGTATAGAATTTTAAAAGAATAAATTTTCTTTTTTTTTCCCAAGGACTGACACCATTCGATATATATTCATATTTCCTTTTTTTTTTGTTTTTCTAAAACCGGATTACAATTTTTTTCGTATGGGTCATCATCATCATTATCTCCCACGTTAATTTATTCCATTTCTGGATATACGTTTGATGTATTCCCTAACATCTCGGTCACGTTTACGCTTCTCCACTTACAAGCCCTTTTTGTCCATCTCTAGTCTTTAGTCCTTGAAATGTGCGCAGCCCACTGCCAATCAAGCTTTGTGATTCTGTGTAAAGCATCTTCGTCCCTTGTCCTGCTTCTCAATTAGCTTCATGACCTGACAACCTAGCTGTCTCCAATACTAGGCACGATGTAAATAATTTAAGCTACAGAGAATAAAAAAAATTAAAGTCCAAATAATTCGTTTTAAGACAAAAGTATATCTAAACTTCCTAAATGCCGCCTATTTCAGCTGGATATGCCTCTCAACCTATGCCATTTGGAAGTCAAATGTGGAGAGAAAATCATTGACAATCAGCAGATCTCTAAATTGAGCAAAACCTCTCTTCAGCACAACCGTGTCAAAACTATAGAGAAACTGCGGCATGAACTTGGTGGTGACAAATCTTCTTATGAGGCATTTCAATGGTGTCTTGACGATATATACTCCTAGACAAAATTATCGCACCACTGCACATAAGCATCACATAAGCAGAGGTGCGATAATTTTGTCCAGGAGTATGTATATAAAAAACTTGAACCTCTTTCATTGAATGAAGCATTTGTTAGAGCTTCAGAACTTTCGGAGCTTCGTTCCAAAATCCACAACTTACACAACAGACACACAATAATGGAGTGCCTAATATGGACTTCAGGTTGTACCTATTTGGGCTTTGAATAATTTCAGTTATTTATTATGTAGGTACTTTCTCTGCTCTATTACCAGTGCCGCAAAGCAGCTTTTCTCGATCATTTTTCGACACTGATGACTGGATCTAATGCTTTAAAAACTAATTTTCTAGGTGATATTGCCTATTTCTCAGAA